TTTGCTTGTGTTAAAATTGCAGAACAGTATGAACATGAAGGTATTTGGTCAGTTGTGAAGGGTGAAGTTGCACGCTCACAAACCTTTTATCTGTTAGAAATACACTACTAAATGCATTTAAAGAAAAAATTTCTTCAAAAGTTATTGTATGACTTTGGAGAAGAGCACTTAAAAATGCTAAGAAATATTTTGAGGTTTCGAGGTCTTTATTTAGGCATAAGAAATATTTTGAGTCTGACGAAAACATACAATGCTTATAGTAGTTCCGACGATGATCACGTAATTTAAGGTAATACAGTCAACCCTCTTTATAGTCACCCCCTCTATAAGCACATCATATAATACCTCTTTATAAGCACACCATGTTTGAAAACCAATTACTATTGAACTTATCGGAAAAACCCTCTATAGTCACAACCTCTTTAGAAGCACATTTTCAACAAAAGTTGCATTGTTCCCGACAGCGTGACTATAGAGAGGGTTGACTGTATTTATATCTTTCCCAATATATACTGATAATATTTATTAAATAAAAAAAGAAAATTACATAATAAAAATTTTTTTATCGATGCAATATCTGAGGTACCAATCTTTTTGCAACGACCCATACCGATATCTAACAATTCATGTATTGATTTTTTGGGTACATGATATCCTAACTGTTCAGGTAATAAAGGAATCGAAAGGAATCTATCACAACACTTCGAACACACTGAAACTAACCGAAATCTACGCTGCTTTATACTGTATCTTTCGACAGGACTAATAATCTATTAGCGATGTTTATTATTAAAGTACTAGGGTGCAATTATCATTTCAGCACGTGTCACCGAATATTCTTTATAAATGGTCAGAATTAACATTAATGTACAGTATGTTTTCTCTCGCTCCACTAAAGTTCGCAGCTTATTCAAGTGGAGGCTCAAAGCGTGTCTGTTTCCTCAAGGGTTGAAGTATTGTAGCATCTTTGTTTTTTGACTGCTCTATAGAGCTCCCGCACGTACAACAATATTATTGTGTTAGCGTTGTGTGACATTATAGTTAGAGTTAGTGTGACGACTTGGCATGAAAGAACTTTTCAATCGTCCCAAGAAACAATATCTTAAAGCAAACATGGATAAGAAATGGCTAGATAAAATATGTGAAGATGGAATAATCAAGTGCTATTTAGAAAGTGAAATCTTAAACCGTACGTTTGTCGGCCACGGTGGGTTCGGAGTTGTGTACAAGGCACAGTTGAAGTACAACGACATAACCGTCGCAATGAAGATGTTATCTCTGAACGCATATAGCGATGAGCAAGAATTGTACAAGAAGTTTGTCAAGGAGGTTTGTGTTATTATTGTTATTACTATTAGCAGTCGTCACTCGGTAAATCACTATCTGCAATCGAAAAATCAAACTGATTTTGTGTATATTAGTTGAAAACTCATAAGAAAGTGGATGACCATCCGAACATTATCCGATTTTTAGGATTATGCAAAGGTCAGTATATCAAGGCGAGTTAAATGCAATGTTAAACCTTTATAGAATTACGACTGACTCCGCCTTATGAGTAGACACTTCCCACGATTATCACATGGTATTTGAATTTGCTGATGGCGGGAATCTATGTGCACATCTAGCAAGGCATTTTACTGATTTAACGTGGAAAGAAAAGTACAAATTGGGTCTGGACATTGCAAATGGGTTGAGATACCTACATGCACTTGATATTGTTCATAAAGATCTGGTAAGGTGTTATCTATTTATGCATATTAATATGAAATAACGATTTGAATTATAATTATAATAATGCATGATATTACTTGTACAGTCTTCTGCAAATGTTCTTATTCAAGGAGGGATTGCAAAGATTACTGATTTTGGGTTGTCTAGCATGTTAAAACAAACTGTATCTACATCAAGAGGTGAAGGCAGTACAGCATATATTGATCCAGTCACCTTTGAAAATGAATCATATAAACGAGGGATAAAGTCAGACATCTTTAGTTTTGGAGTAATATTATGGGAAATATCTAGTGGGAAAAGTCCATGTGAAGGACAGATTCAAAGTTTTGCAATTGTTTTATATAGATTGAAAGGCTTGAGGGATCCTCCTTTTCCAGAAACACCAAAAAAGTATATTGAACTATATTCCAAATGTTGGGATAATGATCCTATCAAAAGACCATTGAGTGAAGAAGTATACAAGCAATTAAAGTCTTTGCATGATGAGTCATTAATTTTGTGTAAAATATTGAACTTGAGTCAACATAATTTGAGAGATACAGAAGCAGCAGCTTTGGCAAAAGCTCTAGAATCAAATTCTTCTCTGACTTCTTTGGGTCTCAGGAATAATAAGATTGGAGATACAGGAGCAGTGGCTTTGGCAAAGGTGCTAGAATCAAATTCTTCTCTGACTTCTTTGAATCTTGGTTCTAATCAGATTGGAGAAACAGGAGCAGCAGCTTTGGCAAAGGCTCTAGTACTAGAATCAAATTCTTTTCTGAATTCTTTAAATCTACTTGGTAATTATATTGGGGAGACAGGAGCAGCAGCTTTGGCAAAAACTCTAGAATCAAATTCTTCTCTGACTTCTTTGAATCTTGGTTCTAATCAGATTGGAGAGACAGGAACAGCAGCTTTGGCAAAGGCTCTAGTACTAGAATCAAATTCTTTTCTGACTTCTTTGGATCTTAGTGCAAATCTTGTTGGAGAGACAGGAGCAGCAGCTTTGGCAAAGGCTCTAGAATCAAATTCTTCTCTGACTTCTTTGAATCTTGGTTCTAATCTGATTGGAAAAATAGGAGCAGCAGCTTTGGTAAAGGCTCTAGAATTAAATTCTTCTCTGACTTCTTTGAATCTTAGTGATAATAATATTGAAGAAACAGGAGCAGCAGCTTTGGCAAAGGCTCTAGAATCAAATTCTTCTCTGACTTCTTTGGATCTTAGCAATAATGAGATTGGAGAAACAGGAGTAGCAGCTTTGGCAAAGGCTCTAGAATCAAATTCTTCTCTGACTTCTTTGAATCTTGATGCTAATCAGATTGGAGAAACAGGAGTAGCAGCTTTGGCAAAGGCTCTAGAATCAAATTCTTCTCTGACTTCTTTGAATCTTTGGGCTAATCAGATTGGAGAAACAGAAGCAGCAGCTTTGGCAAAGGCTCTAGAATCAAATTCTTCTCTGACTTCTTTGGGTCTCAGGAATAATGAGATTGGAGAAACAGGAGCAGCAGCTTTGGCAAAGGCTCTAGAATCAAATTCTTCTCTGACCTCTTTGGATCTTAGTACAAATCATGTTGGAAAAACAGGAGTAGCAGCTTTGGCAAAGGCTCTAGAATCAAATTCTTCTCTGATTTCTTTGGGTTTCAGGAATAATAAGATTGGAGATACAGGAGCAGCAGCTCTGGCAAAGGCTCTAGAATCAAATTCTTCTCTGACCTCTTTGGATCTTAGTACAAATCATGTTGGAGAAACAGGAGTAGCAGCTTTGGTAAAGACTCTAGAATCAAATTATTCTCTTACTTCTTTGAATCTATATAACAATAAGATTGGAGAAACAGGAGCAACAACTTTGGCAAAGGCTCTAAAATCAAATTCTTCTCTGAATTCTTTGAATCTACATATGAATCAAGTTGGAGATAAAGGAGCAGCAGCTTTGGCAAAAGCTCTAGAATTAAATTCTTCTCTGACCTCTTTGGATCTCAGTACAAATCATGTTGGAGAAACAGGAGTAGCAGCTTTGGTAAAGGCTCTGGAATCAAATTCTTCTCTGACTTCTTTGGGTCTCAGGAATAATATTATTGGAGAAACAGGAGTAGCAGCTTTTGCAAAGGCTCTAGAATCAAATTCTTCTCTGACTTCTTTGGATCTTAGTGATAATAATATTGGAGAAAGAGGAGCAGCAGCTTTGGCAAAGGCTCTAGAATCAAATTCTTCTCTGACTTCTTTGGATCTTAGTGATAATAATATTGGAGAAACAGGAGCAGCAGCTTTGGCAAAGGCTCTAGAATCAAATTCTTTGCCTTTTTCTAATTAATATTAATTTCACAACTGATGCTGAAATCCATGCAATTTTATAATATGAATTTAGGGGGTAGCTTGCTTCAATATTTTTATCACATAATACTATCACACAATGCAGTTTGATTCTAAATAGTATTATTAAACATATACTAGTGTGTAACCCATCACTTCATTGATGGTGTAGTAATCTATACATGTATAAATGTAAAGTATAAAATAACAAAAAAAAAGGTAGTTTAGTAGAGTATAATAATAATAGAAATCTAAAGAAAGGTGTATAAGCTATAATAAAGTGCAATAAAAAGATATTGACAATTATAAATTATACAATACACCTGAGATTTCTGAGAATAATCTGTAAAAAAGATGAAAGCATCAATAATGGATAAATAAAACACAGAAAAGAGAAAAAACTAAAAGAGAAGGTTATAATAGATTAGAATGGCTAGAAAAAAAGAAAACAAGGTTAATAAATAAAGTAAAAGTGAGTAATAAGAAAGTAAAAAAAAAAGGTATTATAACAGTAATACTTCTGGGTATACAATACTTTGAGTATATCCAGCATTTGCATGTTGTCCTGTTGTTAGTATCTTAAGATTTTGTTTAGATGTTGTCCTGGAGCAAGCAACATAAAGCTGGCCATGAGAAAATACAGGTGTTAGTGTGGTGTGGGCAGATAAATTCCAACATTTGGAATTTTGCGTTCTTTATTTGTTTACACCTACGATTGAACGCTAAAGGTGTACAAATTCCAACATTTTGGCCCTGTGTTCAGATATACACTGTAAACCTCCCTCATGTGAATGTAAAATAATATCATGAGTGTATACATTAGATAGATGGATTATTGTCATCACCCACTACAATAGCAGCAATTTCAGAGTAGTTGGACATCATGAATCTGTTATTATTATAGTCAAATTTTGAGATAGATTCTGCTGAAATAATCTACCTGTTTGTTGAAAAATTTGTACATATTGATATTACATCATTCATCGGAGTTGCCGGTGGGTAACCGGTTGAACTTTTACTACGGAAACACACGTATATGAGAGAAATCCCTTTAGACCCAAGCTCACAAATAGATCTTGTCTTCCCATATCCAGACGACTGGACAACGACCAAGTTACACTGTCACTGGCGACTTCTTCTAAGCGGTTAGTTAACCCAGTGAGGAAGTTGGCCGGCTCTTGAAACTTGATTTTGAAGGCGTTGTCCCAGACTAAGGAAACGATACTTAGTGTCTTATCAGTTTTAAAAAAGCCAAAACACAAGAACAAACCTTTAGCTTTCTCCGATAGTTCATGTGTAGGTTTCGAAATTAGTTCCTTTCCTAGAAGAATTCATAAAAGATGTCTATATCTAAGTGCTATGCTCTACGAACACCATAATGTCTCTGCTCCGCCATTTACTAAGCTCTATTCTATACTCCTCCCAATGCGTGTTTGTAATGCATTCCAACTATTCTCTCTCCATTACTGCTACGAACCCCGAAATGTCTACGATCCAGCTCTGCCCCAACTAATAACACCCAACTGCCTCTCTTGCAATATAGCACAAAACCAGTAACAGTATTCAAACTCTTCTCCCCGTTGCTCCTCTATCCTCCCAATTCATTGTTCGCTTACCTTGTTGTGACTTGAGGTATTTTTCGTATAGTTCAGGATTTTCTTTGCGCATAAACCGCATAACTCATGTGGGTCCATGTCTATATGTTTTATGATTTAGTGAATGATAATAAAAGAAGAGTCGCGATCTGGTCCTGCGCCACCCAACTCAGCCCGTTTACTTACACAAACATGTGATACTTCTCCGCCGAATCAACTATAGTTGCCGGGTCCAGTACACTTGGCAAATAGATCGGGAACCCTCCATGCCTTTGTCAGGAAAATGAAGACAAAGGGTCTTTTATACGCTTTTTACATATCACGTTATGGAACAATGTTTCATGCCCGCAATCCGGAAAATTTCAATATTACTATTGACCTATTGTTATCCCACTTCCTATGTTTTGATTGGACAAGGAAAACTGAATTCTGTCCATTTTATTTTGCCACCAAAGAGAAATGGCACATGCCATGATCGAATTGAGTTTATCGTAACTGTAAATTATCAAGCCGCTACCGAACGCACATTTACGCAGTATTAATATAACTTTACACATTATTTATTACAAACAGTGTCTACTTTGTCAACGACAATAGCTGATGTTAAATAACTGCGAGCTTGCATGGGAGGGAGGCAAACTAGTACTTGATCAGAGTACTAGAAGTAGTCAGACCCAAAGCCTGTCTCGGAAGACACTATTCTTTAGGCTCGCGAATATTAACTAATATCATCATTATTGTTATCGTTATTTTTGAAACTGCTACTCAAAAATAGATTTCTGCTACTTACTGCTAGAATTTTTTCGATTTTTTTTCGCTTCGATTTTGTCTAATAATATTCTTTGCGGCCATTTTTGATAGCGATAGAAACTTGCAAGCGTTATTGGACTGAGACCTATTTCTCCGGACAAGACATTGTACATTTGTGCAGGAGGACGTTTCTCTTTTTCCAAGGCAGTAAATTCAACCCAGAGGGTTTCAGTTTCGGTATAGCGTTCAGATCCGCAACTTTGCACAGATGCTTGCCCTAGTTAGAAAATTCAGGTTTTATAAAGCAATGAGTTTAACCCTGAAACAACAATAATATACTTACACGTCTTAACATAGCGTGTCATTCTCACGAAATAGTTTACAAACCTTTACTTTGGGCTCCACTTCTCCATTCCGCTTCATTATGCATTTGGACGGTTTTCTTTTTTAATATTGAAATATCTTTCAGGTTTCGGTATGCTTTGATAAGCAAACATATAGACCACAAACACGGCGACGAAAATCGCAAATAAAAATATATTGGGAATATTTAGTTGCATCTTGTGCTTATTTATTTTGTGGTTGATAAGTCGGTTAATCATATTTGATTTATTAAGTAAGCGTTTTGGCCACGCCGGCTCCACTTATAATGATTTTTCTTACCCAAATCTCCAGCAACTTCGTCTATTTTTATACATCAAAACTTGTCATTAGCGAACTATGGCATTGGTCCTTTATTCTCGAGCTAATAAATTATCGACGATCACAGTATCCAGTATGTTATTAATACAGTAATAGCCGTACCTACTGTACATGTGTTAGCGCACTGGACTCACACATTTAGGGAGTGTCGGCTGTATGTCATAAATTTCTGAATCAATTTTCTCTTTGTCAATTACGGCTGCATAAAACATGTCGCTTTTTTACGCTGCGTTAAATTGGAACTCATCATTACGTTAACAAAGCAATAATGTGCCCGTAACGTCACGTCAACAAAACGATAACATACATAAAGACTGCCTTTAACACATAAGTAACAACAAAAGTATCATACGCCTATTATAACGTTATTACAGTATTATCATCACGTTAATCTTAATTTGCATACTCGCAATATTGTAGCGGCAGCCGTACGCTAATTTAGACAAGAATTTCTGGCCGATTATAAAGTCTATATAAACTAGAAACGTCAGGACTTTTAGTTCATCGAGGCTATACTCGTTTCGATTTGCAAAGCTAGCAAAAAATATCGTATTACTTCAACTTTATTGTAAAAAGTGACGCAGACAGTAACGAAGCAATTAAAATCGTTTAAACATAGACTGTCGATTCTCGTTCACCTATAAGTCCGCAAGCGTAACGATAACAATAATGTCAGTTGATATTATTAGAGTTATATACAATTACAGTACAGTGAAGTTCACCATTTACTATGTGACAATTCACTCATCCAATGTGTTGTCATGCATCACAGCTTGTTATGCCCTGTAGTGAGACTCGAGATAAAACATAAAAATGAGAGTCTGCGCTACTACTCTGCCCTGCACATTCAGAGCATATCACGCTACATACAAAATCATGATGTTTTGTTAAGTGTAGAGCACATCTTAGTTCGTCAATACTACCTTTTGAGACGCCACCTTTAACGTTTGGCTAAGAAATACTTACCTCGCATAACTTGCCAAAATAGTGTAAACTTACAAAGCTTTATTATTATCATTGTTATCCTATTTCGGATATTTCATGTTCATGTCTAAATATCATACGAAACAAGTAATAGTTAATGCCAAGAGACTGTGAGATCTGGGAGGGTGTGCTAAAGCTGCAAGAACTAAGATATATATATTTTTAAAATTTAAAGAAATCAAAACATCATCGGTGTAAGGGTCACCTTCGATTACTCAGAAGTCTATCCCTATTAAATTGCATCACCATTAAATACTCTAGGCAAAATGGGTGTTTTTACCGAAAGACTTTTTTATAAACTGATACCGATTTCCTAGACATTATCGTCTGCTACAAAAAAAGAAGGTGGAATGACGCCATTCGTGAAACAACTCTTTATGGTTACCTCACCTCACAATAAACACCCTGCTGACTCAAACCCTGTCGATTTGGCGGGGTCATCCATGAGGGATCTTATCGCAATCTTTGGTTCATTCCCATATTTGTCTGCCCGAAAGTTTTTTTGCGTAGCGCGAAACCTTTTTCTTGCGTTATTGTGTCACAATGATCACCCATCCATTAAAAGAATGTAAATGGTGTATAAATTTTGATATCGATTGCGCTTTATACGCCAGCATTTTTATAAGCCGGTTAATTTCTGTATCATTAGCGTGAAAATGCATCATCTAGGAAATAGTAATCGCTTGTCATGGCACGGTATTCATTCATTGAAGGAACCACCCCATGTTAAGACATGTTAGACTGGCTGAAATTACTTTGTTCGCAACTAGGCTTAAGGCGATTATTCCCAAAAGATCGCAGTTTAATAGAGAATTTATATAAAAATAACCAGTGACCCACTTTGTTGCAGCACGCCCATATAATTTAACACGACAAAGTTAGAATCTGAAAATGTGTGTGTTCCACGATCAGATAGTTACCGGATTGCCTAACCTTAGATGAAAGCTAAAATATAGTAGAACGTGACCTGATTCTTGCAATTCATTGGTCAAATTTGTATGTCAACCAATGAAATTTCTCCGATTTAGCCTACCCTCTATCTTGGGACTAGATTTCTTCAACGCCTTCTATAATATAGTCATGGTTTGTGGCTAATTGCTTTACTGTAATCTTTCTGACAACAGTAATTTGGGTCTGATACCTTGACTTCCTCATGATCATTAGTATTTCAGGCATGCGCTTAATTCCCGACAAGTAAAATACGTCATTATGAAACATAGAATGATGAAATGATTTCATATTTACGTTACTCTCTATTAGCATTTCTTCTTTGATTACATAATATAAATATACTTTATATATTAGAGGCTCAAGCTAAAGACTCCATATATATGATAACTTACATTCATGATGGATCCATCTTCAATACCTCCATTATATGGTACTTCAGAGCAAGTAAAATTTCAAACATCGATTCAATCCACCAGCACATCGCGATTACCACTCTCTGAAGTGCAACAAGAAACACCAGAAACACCCGAATTATCGCCTGTGCCCTGCGAGGAGAACCACGAAGGAATTCCCGAATCTGTAGAGTACGAACGCTTGTCCGAATTGAAAAAAGTCGTCAGTGAGCATGCGTCAAAAGAAGCGAACGCAAATGGACCCGGCGTGGCTAAAGGAAGTGCTACAGCTCTTTCTCGTGAGTATTCGGATGTGATTATTGACGGTATCGTTTGCATTTCTATTTACTACATATTAATTATCTTTACAATCTTATAACATTATCAGAGAGTGCAATGAGCAAATATGCGACGGCTATTAGTAAAGAGACAGGTATCGCTCATACGACGGTTCAAGGTGTGGAGATGGCGGATAAACCAATCGATGAGACTCAACTGGCCGAAGAATTGAAGGTAACACCATCACGATTATGCATGCCGTGTTTTGATGCTTGTGCTAGTCTCCAACTTTTTAATTTATTTGCTATTAGAATGAGACTGAACAGCGCAAATTCTTCGAAATCGCGACGCAAGGGAAAGTCATACCCGGTGGTCCAGCTGAAAAGGTAGAAGAAGCTGCCGAGAGGCTAGAAAAAGTCGCAAGTCTTGATGGTAATACCAAAAATCAAACACCAACTGTGCCACTTGACGAAGGAATTCCCCCGTCCGTAGAATGCCAACGCTTGTCTGAATTGAAAAAAGTTGTCCATGACCATACGTTAAATGAAGGACCCGAGGTGCCTAAAGGAAGTGCTACTTCTCTTGCTCGTGAGTATTCAGATGTGAATATGGATGATAGTGAAACTTTGATGACCTGTGATAATTGATATTATCCTTGCATTTCTACTAATTTATAATTTTTGTAATATGATTGCTCTCTCAGAAAGTGCAATGGGCAAATATGCAACGGTTATTAGTGAAGAGGCAGGTCTCGATCCTTCGATGGTTCAACATGTAGGGATGGAAAAGCAGCCAGTCGATGAGGTTCGACTGGCTAAAGAACTGAAGGTAACATCACCACGGTTAGATGCATATTGATACTCGTGCTAATATACATGTTTCATTTAGAATGAGGCCGAACAGCGCAAACTCTTCGAAATCGTGACGCAAGGGAAAGTCCTACCGCGTGGTCCAGCTAAAAAAGTAGAAGAAGCTTCCGAGAGGCTACACAAAGTCGCAAGTCTTGATGGTAATACCGATAATGCGACTACTCTAATGCCGGAAGGTTGCGAATCCGTTGGAATGGAGCATCTTGCTGGTTTAACAGATAATGCGGCTATACACAACCTCGCTGAAGTGATTTTTGAGGCAGACGATAGTTCACCTTTTGCTCGTACGTATTGCTGAACAGAAAATTTTGTAGGATTTGTGCATAGATTCCAAAGATGATCTGTTTCACATGTATGACTTTCCTGTGTAGAGAGCGCAATGGGAAATTCCGACGCTGTTACTGCTGTAGAAGCTGAAACACAAACTGTAGACGCAGACTCTACACAACTACGGGATGAACTGAAGGCGAGTAGAATCATATTTGTATGAAACTAGTTTATTGATCGACGCGCTGATAAGCTTTCCCCACACCCAATAACAGGAAGAAGAAGCAGCTATCCATGACACTCAAAAAAGAAGCGATTTATTAGCGAATATGCTGTCAGAGGCAATCAAGGACGAAATCACCGAGAGGATAACTGAATCGTATCCGCAAGTACTATCTCAAGCAGATCCTATAAGCACAATGCCCGAGGCTATCCCACCTGAACAAGAGCTTGCTCACTTGGCTGCTCTGAAATATGTTGCTCTCAGACATGGTCGTGAGGATCAAGTAGAACGTGGTAGGATTGTGAGTCTTATAGGTAAGTTATGGTGGTCACGGGTATAGCGTCGTATGTTGTTGTATTTGAATAATATTGAAGCTTGCGATTTTTGCTGTTTGTAGAGAATGCAATAAACAAGTATGCAGCGGCTATGTCCAAAGCGACAGTAATGCCTTCTTACCACGCTGCGCAAGAAAATGTTGAGCTCCAAGAAGAAATAGATGAAGAGAAACTTTTGCTGGCATTAAAGGTAGGAATTTGTTAATCTGCGTGACGATTGAGAGATTATTACTCTAAACAATGTAATTACAATACAGCTTGAAGGTAATCGACGTCGCAAAAACGAATTGCGTGAACGTGGAAAATTAAAAGACGAGTCAAATTCATCTGCTGCTATGGCGGAACAAGCCGTTCAGTTATTTGAAGAGGCCGTCAAACTGTCGAAAATGATTAAAGAGCCCAGCGTCACGACCGTCACCACCACTAACATTTTCCATAGCGGTTTAGTGTGTTGATTGATGACGATGTATATAGAACATTTTGACTTTAAAAAAGGAAGACAAGATTTTTTTTGTAATTTTTGAATAAAGGGATTTATCGAGTCATGTAATCAAGTGATCATCAAAACATGTGACTGAAATCTTGCATACTGCGAAAATGGTCAATATTACGTTTTCTTCGCATATTCACCATCAGCTATGGCCACTGTTGAACTAGTTGAACAAGACAAACGTGTGCTGGCCCCCGAAACCGAGGAATCATCTTTTGAAATTTTAACCCAATATGTTTCAGATGACGCATCTTCTTCAAAATCAACGAGATGTCGGCTCGGAAACCACGAAAAGCGTCGAATGGATCGGGAACAATATAAAGCATTATTAAAGGAAAAGGACCAAAAAAGGAAAGAGGAGCGTCGTAGGAGAAGAGAAGCAGGTTGTTTAAATGATTAGTCATTATGATAATAGTAGGGTGTATGTATGTCTTCGTGCATGCGATTGATTCCCTTGCCTTTGTACAGGAATTTTGCCTCCTAGAACAAAACCTGTCAAAATCAACAAATATCCATCGCCAATGTCATTAGTAATTGATCTATCATTTGATGAATTAATGACAGATAAGGTAATAATGATACTATGGGTTTAATGGTCGTTATCAATTGTCAGTATTCATCGACGTGTTTCTACTAGGAAATTACAGATTTATCTAATCAGATGAACAGATCTTACGGAGCCAATCGTTCCAGTTGGCGTCCGGTCAGACTGTATTTCACAAGTTTCGGTGGTCGCATTAAAGAGCGATTTATGTCGAAAGTTAAAGACTGGGAACGGTGGAAGGATGTTACGTTTACAGAAAAGTCCTTTGAAGAAGTGTTTGTCGACACAAGCAAGATAACCTATTTGACTGCAGACGCGGATGACGTATTGACTGATTTGAGTGAAGACGAAGTTTATGTTATTGGAGGGCTGGTAGATAGAAATAGGCACAAGGTATGCTTTTGTTAACAAGCTTGCTATTGTTATCTGCGCGCGCGTAAGCTTTAAAGCTGTTTTTCTACAGGGCGTCTGCCTACGTAAGGCGCATGATCTAGGAATAGCAGCCGCAAAGTTGCCAATATCATCGTACATTACAATGAAAACAAGATCTGTGCTGACTGTCAATCATGGTATGTCTTTATTTTCTTTTCTACATTCGTATGCCACGTTTGCAAGTCGGCACGCCTAACAACTATTTACGTTACAAATAGTCGCTGAAATAATGATATCATACGTCAACAGACAAAACTGGGAAAAGGCATTCAACGACATTATTCCCAAACGAAAGTTTCACCTAGTAGGAAAGAAGGAACGACGAAAAGAAGCCAAATCTCACGAAAATAATCTTACAAAAGATGACTTTATCGATAATAGTCTATTACACAGATCGGAGTCTATGCCACAGCTACCACATTTGGGTAGAGATGACAAGAATTCATCCTTGCATTTATTAAAAGCATCTAAATACTCTAAGCATACCAGTCTCCATCGGTCAAAGTCCATCTAGTCTTCACCAGCAGGAACTTCTTCTTCCAGACGTCTGAGTAATTTAATCCGCATTTCCGTTTGTTCGTCTCCCCGTAGCACGTCACTTACAAAATTAGCTTCTACTTGCATCTGCACCTATAAGTAATCAAATAATGTAATAGAATGACGATAATAAATATACGAATGCACAAATATATATGGGGGTACCTATATGTATATGACACATAAATATAAGGATATACCCCTCCCCCATCAAAACCTTTGTATGCATACACCATCTTACCATCTCCAATGCACCTCTTATCACTCCACACAATATATTAGAATACCACAATTCGCTCATGGCACTATCCTCTGGCAATTCAACAAATTCGGCCAATGGATTCTCGTCAAATATCAACGAGAATTCTTCGTTATTTGACGACCAATTAGCCAACGTTGGAGTAATATTAAGAAAGATCTTGAATCCAACCTATAAAGAAGGTATTGCGATTTAATCATATTTGGCGGATCCGTACAGCCTTTCCATGCTCGATGCAATAAATAGACCTTCACATCTAGTTACTTTTGAGATTACTTCGGCGGTCTCTTTGAAGTCTGAGCATCTGCCCATCCCCGCTCTTGCCAAAAAGTCTTCGATTAATCGCAAACCAATATTGTATCCCCTAGTGACATTTACAAGGAGGTTTTCGTGTCAATTATCAGGATGATAGACAAGTGCACTCCTTACGACAGATGATTACGGGTCGAGTGCATAATAATCCCTAAATAATTGTTGTAGTAGACTTACATTTTCTCTAACTGTTTGTTGACTTCTTGATAATCTTCATAGTCTTTAACCAACTGAGCCACTATGGATCCATAAGTCAATGTAAATAGTTCCGCATTCTAATACCATTTATAATTAGAGCAGTGAGTGTCGGACAAAGATGCATATGCACATGCCACATTCTCAACCCATACTCACGATTTTTTCCACTCTAGACTTCCATACTTCCTCGCCAAGTGCTTTGTATTGTTTCGCCATGACTCCGACAATTAGATGGGGTTACGTTTTACATTTTGAGATTACATTTTGCCTTTGGTGCGACATATTCATGCATGCGGGTAATACACACTAAACCCGAAAAGGTGTTAGGTGTGCTCCTAAAAAGTTTAGTCGCTTTGTCGATCATCTTTCTTATATAAGCGTTCTTCACGCACGCTACCATTCCGCATCTTCACCCTCGTTCACAAATAAACAAACAACCAACATTATGATCGACCCTGCAACCAGAGAAATCATTGGATGGTTTTCATGTTCCGCGTGCGAACTCGATGTACTTAAATACATTCTTTTATCACTTGCCGAACCACACGACAGTCCAAAGCTGTCTTCGATCAGTTTAGAGTTAGACATCATTTCCAAATCGATAACAGATTGCGCGAGAGCAGGATTGACAGAACAAAACCGGCAACAAATGTGTTTCAAACTTATTGAAGACTATCAGGCCTGGCGAATGACGGGTGACTTTGCAATAAGAAGTCGTATGTTGCCAAAAATATTCGCTCTACTAGAATTGTCCGAGACACGGTCGATTGATCTAATGAATAATCTATCAAACCAGTCGGCCATTCAGCGATCGGCTTTGCGTGAAATTGTATACCGTCGACTCAAAGGGTTGAGCGATTTCATACGTAATGATTTATCAACTGGTTTGAACGCCTCGACCAAAGACACGTCAAATGGCTTATCAATATGGGACCAGTATGACCAGGTCCCATCGCCATCAGTGTCTCTCATTACGCATCGCGATAATAAAATCTCTCAGCTCGAGTCCGAGATCGAACAAATAAAAACATTATTAACACAGAAATCTCAGCACCTTGAAGAATCATTGAAAGTCAGAGACAATATGTTTGACAAATTCGAAGAAGAGAAAAGGACATTAGCAGAGGAACACAAAAAAACGGAAGAGCGTTCACGAGAACAGATGCGAGTTATGCGTCATCAGCTGAAAGCGTATAAATCTGAACTTGCTAGGTACCAGTCGGCCCTTACTAATAAGGTCAACATGCCAATGTTTGACGACGGATCAGATGGGCAAATGGAATTAAGAAAGAGGATCGAGAGGATACACCAAGAGCTGGAAGACTTTACAAAAGTCAAAGGCAGTGGAGTACGCATCAATGAGGAGGCAGCCGAGAGATTGTTGGCACAGTATCAGAGTAGACTAGACTTTCAGAACAAGGTTGTGTTGAGTGCTGCGCTTCAGAGGCTTACTGTTAAAAAGGTGTTTGCGTTTGTCGATAGTCTGTATAAGCAAAGGGTTGACGATATCGAATTCGATGAAAGGGATGAAAGAGAAGAAATGGACATTAGTAGGGACGAAAGACATTTAGAAGCCATGATCGTACAAGAGTTGGAGAGAATGCTCGCGCTTACACAAAGATTTTCTCAGACACGAGAGGGAAATGACAGTGTGTCTTTGGTAGTATCCACCATTCTCCGTAAACAAGTCTATACGTCTCTGGGTCACAGAGCCTTTGAGAAAACAAAATCAAAACATCGAGCCATATCCGATCTAATCATCGAGCTATTAGATGCAATCGCCGAATACCGTGTAATCCTAGACGACACCAAAAAGAGAGAATGTACCAGAATTGCAATGCAAGTAATTCTCGACCTTATCCATCTGCGATTCCACTTGAAGGCACAAGAACCCGAACCCGAACTTAAATGGTTCGAAAGCGGAAAGCGTGTCAATCTCGATGTGATGGATGGTACGTGTATGGTAGAAAACACACACTTTGAAGTTGATTTCTGTTATTTTCCTGCTATCGGCTTACATCTGACGGACGAAAAGATGAGAGTCATATTCAGTAAAGCCCAGGTGGTTGCTAAAGAACGAGAAAGACGTGGATCCTCAAAGATCATCAAACGACAAATGTCGGGAGATAGGATCGAATACTAAATCGGGGAAGAACATAACATAATTCTGAATAATTGGGATATTTTCTTTGATACGGGTTCCACATACACACATACGTCACACGCATCCCAACGGACTATCCGTCGCGGTGGCAAGTTGTATTATATATACTTTTGAGATGCGGAGTAATATATTGTTATAGCAGCGTACAATAAACCGCATTTTATTGTTATGACTTTTAGGATTTATCTTACATAGAAATGAGCCCCATTTTAATACTTGATCATGGGTATTTTGAGGATATTAGACTTTTTTTCTTGTAAGAAATTTTGTGAATAAAAGTGTAATTAGGTGAAATGGATATAGATGTATTAGTCGTTATTATATATCAGTATGCAAGAAAATGCAGTCACCTGCCTATGCTGGGAGTTGGCCGTTCACATGAACAGCTTTTTGTGTAGATAGTTGTACATATTATTACATGCGTTCCCCTCATTACCCTTTTTCCCCCCTCTCATCTTTTATTTGCCAACCAATAACCCGTAATTGTACTTATTAACAATGCGATGCCAAAACCAGGTCCACTACCGAATGCCCACCACACTATTCCCACTATCCGATCGGCAAATGTGCCTATCTTTTGTTTAATTCGCCGGTACGAATCAGTTTCATCCCAGTCGTAGGTCCTCTCATGGGAAATGATCGATGAGGTAGAAATCTTGACTGTCGCAGAGACAGGTTTATGATCAGAAGTTAGATACTCTGCATGCGAAGAATAATTTTCAACCATCAGACACTTGTCGTCTGTCTTTGAAGAACAATTCTGGAGACTGAATATACGATCGCACCATCCAGGTATGCGTGATATGAAATTATAATCATTGGTTTCTCGATACAATTTGTATGTGGGAGGGAACAGAAGCGGCGACTCGGTGAAATTATTTAGCGTTCTCTCTTCTCCATGTGCAATCGCCAATTGGTCGTATTCACGTAATTGATCCGTGTTATTATCTCGCATCATCGTTAAGATATCAGGAACAGATATCGTTGGAAGCGTTGGATGAGATAGTAAGATCCGATAATTAAGATCACCAAAAAAGAAAGTGTAATCGTTATCGTATATAGTCAATTTCCTCGGATATTCTCTTTTGTCGTCTGAAAATACCGAAGATGAAGAGGACAAGTGCGAGCTATCCCTCACATGAAACGTCTCCATCGTTGTATCATCGTATTTAGTTGGCGAGAACACCAACCTATTACATACCTGCTTGAATTGCTTGTTTCTCAATTGAGTATTATTATGGTGCGCTGCTAAATGAGCGGTTACAAAACACATTGACACTGCTTCCATCTCCCCATCCTCAGCAATGAGTACCCTTGCCCCGACTGCTGCTTTATCACCCATCCATAACCATCCCAATCCGACAGTATTTACTTCGGTCATCTTTATAAAGGGTGTGCATGTCGAATCTCTTGTGAATATGAATAATGTTACGCCGACTAGAGATGCTCTGACGATTTGGGTGAATGATTCTTTAGTGGCCGATTTGAGTGTGCGAGATATAACGTGCGTGTAGTGATCGAGTATATGAATGGATTCGCCTAGAAACGCTTGTGGATACGGTGCCATTTCCTGAAATCCTATGGCCACTATGTCGGGTGTTCGGCTTGGAGCCTTTGAAGAGGGAATGAGTAGACTTTCAAGGCTTTCGTGCAAGAGTTGTTTGTTAAGATTGTAGGTAATCACGCGAACGCAAAGTGAACTGGGGAGAGCGGCGGACATTGAATGGAATGAATAAATAATTTAATTAATGAGCGTAAGTTTTAAAGTCTTAGAGACTGCAGTGTAGGAATGGCGTATTCTGAGAATACTAGCTAAACTATTGTCGCACTTTTCTTGATTGTAGGTTATGTTACACGTTCTGACTAGCTTCATTCTTGTGCTACATTGTCCATAGTCTATCTTTTATACCCAAAAAGTCAGTTACACAAACTTCTTTATTCATACACCTTCAAACAAAATCCAAACTAATCATCTATGCTATGCTAACAGTATTGAACAGACTCACAAAGGTACAATATATTTATTTAAAACTAAAATCAGAATTTGAAAATAGTATTCAGTGAGGAAAGGAAGACCAATAGAAAGGGCGTTAGTATGCCGTCAGAGTTATTGAAGAATAGCTGATATTTTGTCGAGGTCTACTTGCACGACAAGTACTACGAATCCGGTGTTTGACATCGTGCCAGCATTGTTGGAGAGAGTAGAGAGAAACGGCATTTGATCAGGCCTTTCGGGCAAAGTATAATTAACTGATGCACTGTTGTTGTTGATGTTGTTGTTTACGTCGATGGACTCGGGATTTATCGCATTCAAATGCATGCCAGCATTACCGGGATGAGGATAATTGTTGACCCGATAAAAATAATTACCAGCATTTCCGTTATTCGGAATATTAGTATCCAATGATCCATTCATACGGACATTGCTGGAGTCGAAAGAACCGACATCAGGAGGACAATAATAATCTTGACGCTGGTAGCCAAAAGTTTGCTGGGAGGGCGGATAGGAAAAAATGTTGGGGTTGGGATCTGACATTTCCGACGAAAAACTGTTGACATAATAATAATCCGAGTCTGGATTAATCATCGGATTCGATGAAAAACCATTTGTAAAGTTTTCGTAATTCGATTGTTCACTCATATCGAAAAGAAGATGGGTAGGGAAGTTAAAAACAAGGGGTATTTATACTGTCGATTAGTACTTACAATCTTGAACTTGCACCATTGTAAAGTGTTATTTTAATAATCGTTCGACATTATCTGTAGTGTAACACTTAAAAACTGATTGACTACAATGCAATGTTTACTCCTAATTTTAATTCTTTATTTATTATTATGTTCTTCCTGTCTCTTCTTTTTTTAGCCTCTAATTATTAACGCTTTTCTGTTCGAGTTGGTTGTTCTCCAAGACTAACCAAAAAACGGCTAAAATCACCCCATGTGACTACGACAGTTGTTTAATAAATCATGAGAAAACGAGTAATTATAATGACAAACTTTGTTTCATGAATGATTAAAATATATACTGTACATGTTTTCCTGCAGCTTTTTTTACGTTCTTAATATTTTGACAATAAAATACAATCACTGATTGTGACTATAAAGTTTGTAATCACCATACTAGTCAGATCACCACTTGACTGTATGGAGGGACGACTATATCCGATTGATCAACAATTAACCGCAACGTGAAATAAATATCGAGAATTATACGTTATTATATTAACTTTAGATTATTCGATTGCATTACCTACATATAAATTAATATCGATTATTTATGTATTAAAAATCCACGTATATTAATATTATTCATTATACTATCGCTGTAATAAGCAATTTGGTCAAAGATCTGCACTAACGGAACATGTGTGAACATCACTAATTGTAACAAGAGCGAGCTTCAGTGATGTAAGTACAAAAAGTCTCTCTGATGTCCGATTATACAGTCAACCCTCTCTAAATGCACCCTCTCTAAATGCACACCCTCTATAAATGCGACTTACTTTATTCCCAAGCTCGGGAATTAGAGATAAATGCACACTCCGTGATTTTCATGTGATTTGTACAATGTGTTACATTTGATGTCTAGGAGATGATTGGATACTCTAAATTTAATCGACAAAGAGGGCAATGTTTTGAAAGAAAACAAGGATCAATTGTGATCATTAAGCAGCTTAACTTGCCTGATAGTCTGAGTTCTTAAATTATCCTGAAGAAGGATGAACTTATGAAGTGCCTGACAATAATATGTTGATTGAAGAACTTATTGAAATATACAAACAACCATGTATTGATAGTTATCGTATTTCTCTGACTCAAATACCCCGGGTACTAATTCGGGTGTATTTTGATGTAAGTGGTGGTACTTTGATGTAGGGCATTTATACGTATGCCTGATTGGTAGTTTAGAAGACGAGTTAACAACTGAGGATGATAGATGAGAATATATGGTAGATGGTAGATGAGAATATATGGTAGATGACTATTAATATTGACAAATAAAATTAGGGGGTACTTTGCATGAAATTATTTGTTTATATTACCCGGATATTTTATTTGATGATATTTATTTCTTCGAGAATAGTACCCGGTCTTTTACAAAATCAGGCCTCAAAACTGCAGAGGGGTATTTTACTTTACTCGCGGGGTACTTTAGTCAGAGAAATACGGTAATGCCAACGATGCTGCAAATGGTTTAGAAACTATTCGTTCAGCAGCAACAACAAGACTCTAAAGAGTTGCTAAAACATGTGAGAGTGCTTGAATGTTACATTAGTTTAAAGTCAGTGAAGCAAACAACGATAGATAATGAACATACTAATATATATCAAGTCACGTGGAACCAATAAAATTCTGATCTTCTGTATTTAGAGAGGGTTGTTGACTGTATGTATAGATTCAACAGAAAAATTATTTGCAATCTTCCAGTCTCCTGTTCAAACCTTGTTCTAAAGCGATGAATTGCAGATATGGAAACATTTTCAACACATATTTTTCCTACTTTCGTCTTTTCTTATGATATACAGAGTTTTGTGCCCCCATCGAACACACGAGGCCATATGAATGTTCATATCCTGATCCTGGGTGTGGGAAAACCTTCACATGCCGAACCACTCTTACCCGACATGCCCGCACACACGACCCTTTGTGAAAAGAATACAGTACGTATGTAATATTTTTATTGTATAGAGACGTTGAAATTGGGTCATTCTGGATGCTTTTTGTTCTCAATGATGTGTGTATTGTTGTGTGTATAACAACAGCATATTATCTAATCCGATTGATCTGTAATATCTTTTGACGACGAAAATCAATTACTTAATCGACATATATCAAATACAGTCCATGTCACCGTTCTTGTGCTACCACGACGCTTTGTGATCTCCGTAAACAATAGGTGACACAATTCGAGTATAATCTTGAACTTGCATTATTGTAAAACGTGATAACCAACGTTTTGAATCTTAATCGTGGCGGAGTTTTTGAAATTATCGATAGAGTGGCTTTTTGGTTGGTTTGGGAGTTTGTTGGCATTTGGGAGAAGTCGGCATTACGTGCTTTGTATTTGTTTGTTGTGCATTTGACTTTCTGTGGTTGGCAGAAGTGGGGGTTTCTGAATTTAACTCTTGACTATTTGTTAATTGTTCGTTTATCAGCTAATCTGATAGTAATATGTAATCACGTGAATGATATACATTATGATTACCAAGAAATTGTTCACAATTAGGGTCCCTAGACCTTAAGGAACGGGTGGTATTTATATTGTCTATTAGTACTTATAATGTATCTGTAAACTTTAAAAGTAACCCTTTGGTGGTTGTACAGCATATTGGTCCCTAGCCTTGTTCCCTTTGGCTCCTTTTGTTTAGATCTGCAAAGATAAGATAACGATAACGATAAGCCATGTAGGAGTGACCACCTAATAAGGAAATCTTAATAAAAATACAAACTTTCATTATACTATCAATAAAAATAGTAACATATTTAGCGTAACCGAAAAATATTGGCGCTGTATTGTTAACCAGAACGTTTTATATTATTAATATTGAATACCGCATTCCTAATACACTGTATAACAACTACTAAAACATCATGATTCAGAGCTTCTCGCACATAGTGCAACCACATGACCCGAAAAGTCGACCAGCTTATCTGTTGACTGTGTATTTAGAACAAATTTTTTAAAATTGATATTAGATTATATACTCCTAATATTGATTTCCTACTTCTTATGAAGTCAACGATCCCATGAGTTTACGAGTACACGCAACGACATAACGGTTGGGGAAGGTCCTGTCAATTGGATTGGTATAGTGGGTTAATTATAAGATTACGTTTTTCCTTGCGGTTATTAGACCACAATTCATGCATGAACAACGAACATTGAGGAATTGTAACGGTGAGTGGTTGCAATTGATTTTGTTAATTTGATTGATACATTGATATGGGGAATCATCACATATTAAGAGGGGGATATGAAGAAGAAAACGAGGATGGGCTTGCCATCAGGACGATTAACCATATCGACAAAGTGGAGGATATGAATGACTACTCACAATGTCGGGTCATTGGATTGTTTATGTTGCCTACTTATTAATAAAAACCCCAGTTCACTAGGCGACGACTTGTATATCTCGTCAAAAGAAAGTATTAAAGCAGAACAACTGAAGCCAATGCTAAGATGCTTGAGGTCTATGAATATGACCGTATAGAATGTTTAGATGTGTTGCGAGAAAAAATTGGCCGCTATTACAATATCTTAGTTATTGTGTTCTATGCATTACCACAAAATAGCTTATGAAGTTTCCGCTAAAGATTATTCCTGAAGACAAGAAAAACAAATATCAAGCAAAGTCTGTCTTTTATTATTATTATTATTTTCGTTAATATTGCAATACATTTAATCGATGTGCAAAAAAAGCATCACCCCAGCGATACATTCTCAATAACCGAAGAACAGATTCACAAAAGTACAATTAATATAACAAGTATCTAAGTAAACCCAAAATTTGACATTGACTTGAAAAGCCAATAACAGTAGCATCCATGTGGAAAAAAAAAGACTAATAAAAAGAGTAATTAATATACTTGTCTTCGTTATTGAAGGATAGATACTATTTTGTCCATGTCTACTTGCACGACAAGTACTACGTATCCGGTGTTTGGCACCGTGCCAGCATTGTTGGAGAAAGTAAAAAGAAACGGCGTTTGCACAGGCCTTTCGGGCGAAGTATAATTAACTGATGCATTGTTGTTGTTGATGTTGTTGTTTACGTCGATGGACTCGGGGTTGATCGCATCCAAATGCATACCAGCGTAATCGTTGACTAGATATACATTGTTCTCAGCATTTCCGTTATTCGCGGTATCCAATGGTCCATTTTCACCACCCATACAGGTATTGCCATTGTCGAAAAAACCGGCAGCAGAAGGACAATAATAATCTTGACACTGGTAACCAAAAGCTTGCTGGGAGGGCGGATAAGAAAAAGTGTTGGAATTCAAACTTGACATTTCCGATGGAAACCTGAAAGTTTGCTGGGAGTGCGGGTAGGAAAAGATGTTGTTGGAGTCCGGACTTGTCATTTCCAATGGACGACTGTTGACATAATCCGAGTCTGGATTAAACATCGGCTGACCATTTGTAAAGTTTTTGTAATCCGATTGTTCACTCATAGCGAAAAGAATATGGGTAGGTCACTGTCTTGCGTTGGAACATGTAATATATTAAAAACAGGTGGCACGTGTATTTATACTGTCTATTATTAAACCGGATAAGTAGTACGTATTGATTACACCTACGGGGTAAACTATTATCATGTCAATGCTAAAATGTTTAGATAATAACATAATCGGGAATTTACCTGCCATGTCGCACAACCTGCCAGGTCGTGCAAGCTCAAATATCATCCTTTCATTGAGGCTTCTCCTCCATAAATAGAAATATTATGGACTGTACGACGTTTCGGGTTGTGCGACCTGGCAGGTAAATTCCTGATAATGATAATAACCAAATTTACGATTACCAAAATAAAAAAAACAGACTCCCGAAATAGCGAGTTGGAAATGAAAAGAAAACTAAGTTCTTATCAAAATGAGCCATCGGGGATGTGTTGCACGGCGAATCTATTCGCATGCTAATAGGTTTTTATGCAAATACACAGAACAAGTTTCTTGTTAAAAGGATTAGAAGTATCTCTCCTTTTCTAGTATAAATATGCTGCCGGACTTAGTGGTATTTACATTATGCAAATAGACAGCATGCAAATAGACAGGTGCGACTGTATATTGGCAACCCCCCAATGAATATTCTGTCAAATGTCACGCAATGATTCAACTTGTGAATTTGGAATAACATATACTGCGTTTTCATGTAACTACATCGTTCTATGTAAAATGACTTTACTTATCGTCAGACGAATAATAATGGAATAGATGCATATTTTAAAAAATATCCACACAGAATAATTCTGGTCAAGCGGTTGTATTGGTCCTTGTAGGTGGACTGTTTGCTGGTAAGAAACGTTTACCAGACGGCCGAGATTACTGAAGATGGGAAATTTATTCGTATAGGCTTAACAACTTGTCAACATTCTCATATCCGATCAATTTCGCAAATTATACTCATCTTGACGACTGCCCATTGGTTTCTAATTGCGAAATTTGGGATTATCTTGTGAATACAATTTTTTATCTATCTTGTGCACTTATCTTGTTTGTGTTGAAACCTTTCGTGTAACATTGCTGATTATAGTAAATGCTGTAATGAAAGAATGGAAATCGCCCCTGTACAGTACTACAGAAAGTCTCCACCATACACAGCGACTTTCTTCCTGGCCTTCATACATCCCAACTTAATTCGAACCAGAAAAATTGATGGCATGAATGGATGTTTTTCGGAAAAAAACGAACCTTTTGGTTCTTTCACAGAGGATGATATATCGATTAATCTTGTGTTTGCAGGTGAGTTCAAATCTTCTTCTGGTGATCCTAAACAGAGCCGAAAACTGACGCTAGTTCTTTAACATGCTATCGAATGACATGTTAGCAGAAAGTACGCTATACGCATTCAACCAATTTGCAAAAATGGAGATCTGCTGCTCCTTACGCTTATCTTGACTAATGTTGTTCTCAATTAAACATTCCTACGATTAATCGCAAAGCAGATTTGGCCTAATTGTTTGCTTGGTATGTGTGGTCATCGAGTGCTCTGCTTTTGCTGTCATAGCTGTAACGTCGTGTATTAACAATAAGATGTAATAAGCTTGTTAAGATCTTTATTTGGATAACTGCAATTTTTCTGTTCAAAGTATAATTCTCCTATCTCATATTACAGTTGTTTTTATAATGCCCATTTGCTTTAATAACAGGTATAACCGTATATACGTATGTTTAAAATGTAGACAATGTTGCGAGAGAAACGATCGGTTACCATTACAATAGCTTAGTTATTGCGTCCTATGCATTATTACAGCTAGTGTAATTTAGTTAAAGACCGAATCTTGTTTTTTCTGTTCTATCTAGAAAATTGTTTGTCACAGCAAACAGTTACCAAGCAAATCCTATCATTTGTTTATTTCGTTAATACCACTACAATACATGAACATCTTCTCAGAAAATAGGGTGAGGATAGCGGAGAAAACATTCTATTAGACAAATTCACTAATTTATAATAGTATTAAAGTCTAGTACAATACTAATTTTAAACCAAAAACAAAATTAGACATGATTTGAAGACCAATAAAAAGAGCAGTTGATATATTTGTCTTTGTTATTGAAGGATAGATAATAATTTGTTCATGTCTACTTGCATGACAAGTACCATGTATCCGGTGTTTGGCATCCCAGCATTGTTGGAGAGAGAAGAGATAAACGGCATTTGAACAGGCAAAGTACGTGTACAATTAACTGATGCACCGTTGTTGTTGTTGTTGTTGTTTATATTCATGGGCTCGGGATTTATCGCGTTCGAATGCATGCTAGCGTTGCCGGGAAGAGAATAATTGTTGACTTGATATACATAATTATCTGCATTTCCGTTATTCATAGCATTAGTACACAATGGTCCATTTTCACCACACATACAGATGTTTCCATTATTGAAAGAATCGACGTTAGGAGCATAAGAATCTTGACATTGGTAATCAAAAGTTTGCTGGGAGGGCAGGTAGGAAGAAATGTTAGAGTTCGGACCTGCCATGCCAGATGGAAAATTGTTGACATAATTAGAGCTTAGATTAATCATCGGATCCGATGAAAGACTATTTGTAAAGGTTTCGTAATTCGATTGTTCACTCATATCGAATTGTTTTTTAGGCAGAGTGGAGATTAAAAAACAGGCGGTATTTATATTGTATATCAGTATTTATAAAGTGAGTATTCACAGTATATAATAACCAATTACACGTTTGTAAATAAACAAGTTCATTACTGTACATGGTGGCACGAGTTTCTCGACCAATTACATTATACATAGTCGATTGGCGCTTTTGTATCATACAATGTTTTCATATAGACACATGACTCGTCCAATTAAATACCATCCATTTGTTGATTGACAATACTACACACACTAAATCGTGACGATATATCTTTTCTCAATATTGTCAATGCACTCCCAATATTGTATTTACAGTACAAACACCCGATCTGGTCGGTAAAGTATCTGCTTCTACAGTTTTTAAGAGAGTAGTTTTTTCCTTGACGATTTGAAGTTTATTATTATAGAAAATCCTATTATTATCATCCAATCACGC